TACTTTGCGGAACTGGCCAAGGTCATGCAGCTGGTGGTGGGAGTCGGTGCTTCGCTCAGCTTGTTATGGGTATCTACCCTGTGAACTGAACCTGTGTTGATTGTACTGAACTGTTACGTTCCCATGAAATGGGCGCGCGTTTCCAAGTTCTATTCCCGCCAGCGGGAACTGGGCTCATTGGCCCTAACCTGGTTCAAATCCCTTTATTATGTTATACATGTGTATTGGTAGTCATTCCTAACAATGTCCTTGTTCCTGCTTGAACCATTGCTTTGAAATAAACCTTGCTTTGAATCAAACGTGGAGTTATTTCGAATGCCTGGGGATCCAACACTTTGGATATAATCAGAAGCGCACCCATAGCTCTCTCTCTCTCTGTGTCTTGTGTTCTTGACCTCTTGCTCTGGACCCTGACACCCCCCATCGCTCTCTAACGACGTCCTCTACAGAACCTGCTTTTCCTCTTAAGCCCAGCTTGCTATCCCATATCCTCCCCGTCCTTCTTTACACTCTAGAATTGTGCAGCTAGAGTCTCTTTGGCACATGGTCTTAGCTGGCCTGAGTCCATTCACCATTCTTTTCCAATTTTCTCCCTGTCCTTACCCCTTCACTGGAAGTTTGGAACCACGCAGTTGCAGCCAGGTAATTATTACCCAGAGCATCAACCATCATTCTCCTGCTAATGCAACTGTGCTGTATTAATCTATCTTAATTTCTTAGTCTTGTATGTTTGTAAATGTTGTGTGAAATTGAGTGAATTGTGTCAGTAAACTATTATTATTATTAAGGAAGTATGCCTCAGTCTTTCATTGGGAACCTCAGAAACAGTGCCATCCTCCGTAAACATAGACGGAAGAATCCCGATAATAATAACTTGTTTCCCTTAAGGAGCAATTCGGCGAACACAGTTTAGTCATTTTAGCTTTTAGGGAGAGTTCAGGCTTGATTTGATCTAGAACCCACTTGTTTGTCTTTTTGGCAGTACACAGTATCCGTAAACAAAAGAATGTGTAGAACAGCTCATGCACCAAGCATGTGTTCTAGTCCTGAGCTGTGAGCTGTCTGTCCCCATAATGCAAAACACTGCACCAGGCCCTCTTTATTTATTTATTATTATTTTATTTAATTCCATTTCTACCCCGCCCTCCCCGCATGCAGGCTCAGGGCGGCTTACAAGGCACAAGTGCTATAAAACCAAATACATTAAAAACAACATAAGTTAAACAATTCACAACTCACAAGATACATGGAGGACTAAACTTACACTTTCTCCATTACATGACAGGAAGAGGTCCAAGATTGAAATCAGAAGGGAGAGGGGCGGCCTAAGCCATGTTGTTCCACTTTCTCATAGGCCTACCCTGACAGTCCTGCTTCCGCATACATGCGGTGGTGGTAGTGGCGGCGGCGGCCCCTATTCAAAAGCCTGGCGGAAGAGCTCCGTCTTACAGGCTCTGCGGAACTGTAAAAGGTCCCGCAGAGCCCTGATCTCCTCTGGGAGCTCATTCCACCAGATAGGGGCCGCCACCGAAAA